AGAAGAAGAAGAAGAAGAAGAGAAGAGGAGAAGAATATGAAGGAAAGTGAAGGGGGGAGGAGATTTTTGGACCTAGGGTTCCTCCCCCTTCAAGCTGGAAGTGAAAAGAATTGAGAAAAAACGAGTTTTGGGGCTTTTTATACTATTCTGGGACTTGCAGGGGGTCATAGCGCCGCTACGACCATAGCGGCGCTTTGGGATGAAATGCTCGAGCCTCTGCCCATCGCTTTGCTATGTAACGCCGCTATCTGGGGCCATAGCGGCGCTATGGACATAGCGGCGCTATGGCCTGGGCAGCTTTGCACGATTTCACTGTTTGGGCTCGTTCGGGTTCGTTTGGACTCGGAATTCGATTCCGCTTTTTCCTGTGTGTTGCCAACGAACTCCTCTATTTAATTATGCTTGCACAATAAGCTTTTGCCCAAAATTATGTCCTCTTGAAGCTTCAGACCTACACACCATAAACAAAGAAAAACGGAAAAACACACGGAAACACAAGAAAAAAACTGAAATAGATCAAAACACGCAATAAACTACAAAAACGAATAAAACCCAAAGAAAAGACTCATTATGGGGGAAAAAGAAAGAAAAAAAGACAACAAAAAATGCAACAAAAATGGGACAAATACTCCGGCCAATGGTCAAAGTAAATGTTATACTTGAGAGCATCCACAATGCTTTGGGTTCAATCAAACGAAATTGAATGCCACCTCGGAAATAGACTTGGTCTAAAAAAATATGTTCTCCAATGCAAGTGTAAGTGGACTAGGTTTTGCTGATGTGGCAGCAAGAAAATAAGACCTGGTCTAACCTTAAGTCCATTTTAGGCCCAAGTAAAGACCTAGTCTCCTTGCATTGGAGTAGATTTTGTTAATTTTTATATATTTTTGTCTATGTCATCTAAGACTTAGGTTCATTCACATTCCACATAGACAAAACTAGACCTAAAGCATTGCAGATGCTCTTAGAGAACCCACAATGTTTAGGTCTCTTAAAAAAATTGTACATGCCATGTAAGAATTAGACTTAGTCTATCAAAAAATGTCTCCCAATGCAATTAAATTTGGACATAGTCTAGCTTATGTGGCAATAAAAAAAATAGACCAAGCCCACCCTTGAGTTTATTTTGGAACGAAGCACAAACCGGACTAGTCATCAATCATTCACAATTTGCCTTTTTTTAATAGTTTAGACCTAGCATTTTGTTTTTGCATTGGAAAGTTTTTAGGTTTTTTGACTTGAGTTTGTCCATGTCATTTAAGACCCAAGTTCAATTATATGCCACATAAACAAAAAGAGACCCAAAGCATTGTGGGTGCTCTTAAGACTGTTGTCACCATTACTTTGGGAGTGCGTTGCTATAAAATTTTTTGATTTTGTTTGATTTTTTATTAATATGGTTAATTTTGAAATAAGTGGTATGATTATTTGTTACTGTGATTTTAAATTGTGTTAAATAAATTTGATTCAATGTAAAAGTATAATAGTGTTGATAATAAGTGATGATTAGTTAAAACAATGCGAGTGGATGAATATTGAATTAAAGTCGATGTAATGTGTAAAAATGATTGAGTGATATTATTTGATTATATTGATAATATTGATAATAGTGGTGTTGAGTTAAATTTAGTTAGATTTGAGTTAAAAAAATAATAATTTGTTAACAATGATTGATTTTTAAAAAATAAAAAATAAAAAAATTGTTTCCAAGCATCCACTAGTTGTCACTTAAACCTTACCCTAACGAAGTGTTACCTTAGGGCCACAGCTGTTTATCGATCAATACCGTTAATCGAACATATCGAAATATCAAAACAAAAATTCATGAGTTAAACTTTTGAAAAATCGAACAGACCAAACTTTTTTCACGAACAAAATCCGAACCAAAACAATTGATTAATTTGATCGGTTAATCGGAATAAATAATAAGTTACTATACATGATAAATATAGTTTTTTCTAAATCTTATTTATTTAATATTTACTATTACTTTTGCTGAAATATCTATATATATAT